GAGAGAGAGAGAGAGAGAGAGAGAGAGAGAGAGAGAGAGAGAGAGAGAGAGAGAAAGAGAGAGAGAGAAAGAGAGAGAGAGAGAGAGAGAGAGAGGTTTCGATCGAAAGGATGAGCAAGTCCGTTGCCTTCCCCCTCTCCTCAATTCTCACAATCCCTGCTCTTCTCGCCGCGGGCGGAGCCGCAGCGGGTCCACTTGTTACATTTAATTAAGCAGTGTATTATATCTTCTTGTTCCTGATCTGAGCAGGCCCTACAGATATCAGAGCAGTTTCTGCTTCTTCTGGCGTGCAACCACTGATTGACCAGCAGGGCAGCATAAGCTATAAGCCACTGCATGCTTCTGATTTTGATTGGTTTTATGGTTTTAATTCCGTTTTATATTTTTTCCATGGGCTCTTAGATATAAGTTCTGATACAGTGCCGATTAACTTTCGCCATCGGTCTTTGATTGCTGGTTCCGGGTCCTTTGTCTTCAATAACATGGTGTAGCCGAGTTTGACCGTATATTCCGAAATTGGAATTGGTGATTTGCTTGTCTTGTCCCTTTGTGGCCGCCAAGCCCATTCATGCGGGTCGAATTCTAGATCCTGGACCGATACTCCAATTTGGAAGATCTGTCTTGGCCAGATTCCTAGTACTCTCACCTTGCGAAGTGTAAGAGCCTGGAGCGTTGCTGTTTGTGGGTCGGTGTTGTTGATGATGGGCTCATCCAGTTTTGTCCACTGGATAGGGAAGGATGTGAAGATGGACATTGCTCTCCTTGGGGTGTTCTCCTGGATTAGGATTCCCCATTCCCTTGATTTCCAGGTGAAGTCCTCATTGAGTAGATCGTTCCAGCTATCCGGGATGCTCCGTACGATCTTTTGTAGGTTTTCGTCTCTGTGGTGACAGCCTTTTAGTCTGTATTTAAGTTCATCTTCGTCCAACCAGTCTCTCCTTTCCTCGTTCCATAGATCTCTCACTCTCCAAATCCCATTTTTTATCCACGTTAGCCATTTTATTTCCCGTCTGGGACAGCGTCCAGGGGTGGTTCCCTTCGTCTTTCACCCGTGGGTTTCCAAAGAGCGGTTGTCTCAGTACTTCTTCCGTTGATCTGGGTCTGTTTATCTTCTCTGGCATAATTTCCCTCCAGATTCGTATCCGGGCTGTCCATTGGGGCTGTGATCCTTGCTCCTATCTTGGAATTCCTCCTCTCCTCTGCCTCCTCCTACCTGGTTTAGGACTCCAATCTTTATTCATCACCCAGAATTGCCCTGACATATTGGGGGGGGATGTTGTTGGCGCTAGGCTCTTGATGCTATCAAGCGCCAGCTTGTTCCATGCCAGTGAATGTCTGGTCAGGAGTTTGAATATCCATTTGGTTTGGAGGGCCCTTGTTTCCTGTCTGGGGTCTATTATCCCCAAGCCACCCTGAGCCGGTTGCCTTGTGATGTAGTGCCATGCAATCTTTGGTATGTAGTTCTCTCTGTTAAGGTCCCCCGACCATAGATAAGCTCTAGTTTTTCGGTTTAGCTCCTCGATTGTCTGGTCAGTTATGGTCCAGATCGAAGCGATGTACCACATCATTGAGAATATAGACGTATAATTGATGGTTAGT